TCTGTGCATGTTCTGGGCTGGCGCTGTCTTCCTGTGTGAAGCGCCAGACCCATTCACACTATGAAACGATGATGATGATGTATGTTCAGGGCTGCATTACAACATTGATTGTTCGGATCACTGGTATCTAAGTCTTCCGCTGTGCTATCTTATACCTTGTATTGAAAGGTCGGTTCTTGTTCTGGTCTGCACCTATACGGTATGCAACAGTTTGGTATCCGAGCGGACCTCTCATACAGAGGACCCGCTCAATCAAGTAGCCAGCTTGCGATCTATTGATCACTCATTAGTAACGCAAGTAGGACTTAGTCAAATCTCTGGAAAAAAAATAAAAAATTCTCGCAACAACTATCTGAACTTTCTGATATTCGCATTTCGTTCTATCTGAAAATTTCTGGTATTAGTAGTTCGTTTTTACGTAACAAATATCTGAAAATTTCTGAGAAATCGCATTTCGTTTTGTCTGAAAATTCCCGATAGTAGCATTTCGTTTCTCTGATATTTCGCATACATAGCTGAAATTTCTGAAGTTAGTATTTTCGTTCTCTAGGCATATTGGGATAACGATCGAAGTGGTCATATTCTCGGAAACTGAAACTATTCTTTTCTGAAAATCGCATTTCCATTCTATCTCCCAAATTTTTTTTTGAAAACCGAATCTTGCGAAGCCTACCAATATTGCGTTAGGCATATTCGGAGGTTGCTATGTTATCAGAAACTGGATTTCGTTCTTTTCTGAAAATCGCATCTTTACTCCATTTCGCAATTTTTTTTTTTCAAGATCGCAGTTTGTAAAGGCCAAAACTTTGCGGCACCCACTGAAATAGTCCTTTTTTTATTTTTTATTTTTTATTTTATTTTAACTGTTGATTAGGGCCGGAGGAAAGCATTGTTGGGTTGGTTACCTCCCTCCGTTTCCCTCCCACCCACCCCTTGCATGCTACTCGTGACGGAGCTCGAGACTGCATTCCCTCTCTACGTAATAATACGTACTTAGTATTACGATAGCTAGCTAGCTACTCGTCCTCTGTCTTCAGTCTCTATGGCCTTGCTTTTACGGCAGGCGCGCGACTCCGTTCTCGACGCAATTCTTTTCTTTGCTAGTAAAATAGTTACGCCATAGAGACCCCCATTGTACGATCTCAGTGCCGCCCAGATTGCGCAAAGATTGCCGTAAAAGCAAGGCCATAGAGACCTCAGTACCACCCAGATTGCGCAACTACGGTACGGTGTCGATGAACGGCCACAGATAGCGAATTTTGCGGAATTAAGGCAAGATAATAATTACGGAACTACAACATTATGATGTCAAACAGGGGGGTCTGGGAAAAGCGGGAGCAAAATAATAAGAAATCAAAGAAAACGGATAGAACTACGATACCGGCTCATCCCCTAGGAATAAACTTAGAGATGGGAGTGCTTTCTACCACTTCCCTCTCTTTCATCAGAAAAGACGGAAGTTTTTGCTCCTCCCGGTCCTCCGCAATTTCTTGCTTTTTTAACTCCCTTTCCAGCCAAGCAACTCCCAAACACGCTGTGCGGAGCGCGCACGCGACCCGCCTGATTTGTGCGCATACATTCACTGCAGTAGAGTTACAACGATTGGCCAAAAGAAGCAGACCGAAAATCCCGACTAAAACAGAGTCTAACTAGACCCCTTGAAGCACAACATGCATCACAGAGTCCTCTCTCTCTCTCTCTCTTTCTTTCTCTCTGTGTGTGTGTGTGTGTGTGTGTGTGTGTGTGTGTGTGTGTGTGTGTGTGTGTGTGTGTGTGGCTGTGTGCGTGTGAGGCACACAAAGGCTCACACTCAAACACAGCTCTGCTTTCCCTGTAGATAGTGCCCCTCTCTGACTCGGTTTGTCCGGCGGTCTTTCGATCTGCCGCACACATATGGCACGCACGCAAACACACACGCACACACACACACACACACACACAAACAAGTGAGGGCAAGGGCTCTTGCACGCACACAGAAGTAAGCGAATTTTGAAGATGTACTTGTAGAACAAAGGCCATGCAATGGACGTCCTTTACTGGAATTACGGTTTGAGCAGCTGGTACAAGAACTACACTCAGCGCGAGAGAGGCAAGTGGCTCACTGAAGCCGTCAGCTGGATTGGGGGAGAGACTATTTCGTGTTAGTAATTCTCCATGCAAAGAATGACGAGGGGCAGAAGAGAAAGTTCCGACGTCCGTTCGAGTGCATGTTCCCGCAGAGAGTGGCAAGATGCCTCTCCGTTACTATGCACCTTGCCGCATTCTAGTGGAGATGCACTCGTACTTTTTTCGTTTCGACAATTCGTGTGGCGAGCCCCTCACTTACAACCGACACGTCACAGCGTACACTTTCTGCCGATCGTCGTGGTCCCTCTCGCTATCGTCGTCGCCCGAATAGAACGCCCGGTCATTATAGCTGTATTTGGCGCAACTTTCAGCCTACTGTCTTCCCCCGAACACAACGCACCCTCATTTTGGCTGTATCTGGCCGGAAGTATAACTCGTATACATTCATCTTTAGGGTGCGTTATGTTCGGGGGAAGACGGTAGGGTTGGCCGTTTTATTCGGGGGGTGAACACGGTAGTGTTCAGTTAGCTGCCTGCCATTTTCGCAAATTTCGAGCGAGCCAGGATGTTAAATTCGGATCATGGTGTTATTAATAGTAGAAGAGAAGAACACCAGTCTGCAAGTCACTACCCCGATTTTCATCTAGGAACCCAACCCACCGCCCACACCGTCGACTAATTTGCCTGCGCGTTTGCCTTCCCTGCCTCTATGTGCACTCCGTGCTACATACATGCATGTTACGTATAAACATATATATATATATATCGTCACAAACAGAACT